AGAAGAAGAAGAAGAAGAAGAAGAAGAAGAAGAAGAAGAAGAAGAAGAGCATTGATGCCATCAAGCTGACCAAAGCCAAACCTCGCCTAGCAATTAATGCCAAGTATCTCATAAATACAGGGAGCACTAAACAGGTGGAGAAAACCTTTGGAGGCACTGCTCTGGCAATGATAAAAGGAGCCTGGATTACAGGGGCAGCCACTGCAGGTTTCTTCCTTGCACTAGATGTGGTCAGCATCATAGTAGACTCAAAGCATTTGCAGAAGGGTGCAAAGGCAGAGTCTTCTGCAAAGCTGCGGCAGCAGGCTCAGGACCAGGAGCATAGTTGCAGGAGCTTATCTGGGTTCATTATAGCTTGACTCAGTGACCTTTTTCTTCTTCAGTGAAGCTCAGAACTGGAGGTAGGCTCTGCCCTGAACAGTGCCATGGATACATGAGAGGCCCTGAGTGTATCCCTTCACAGCAATGCCCCTGTGGCAGCAGTGCCTGCTAGAGGGAGAGGACACAGACTAGAGGAAATGACAAGGTTTAATTCCCTTGAAGTTTAAACTCTGCTGCAATTGGATGAGATCTGTTGAGATGCATTGGAGGGCTAACCTTATTCCATATTATTTGAAGAATAAATTTATAAATCCTGATCTGTCAGACTTTGTGTGTTTTCTCCAAATGATACTATGTGTTAGACCCCGCCTTCCAGTGGATACCCACACCTGATCCAGGCGCGCGCCTTCCCAAACTCGGGCCCATGAGAATGGACGATTGTCCTGAGGGTTTAAAGCAGACACACACAAAAAAGAGACCTTTGCTCATTTACCAAGAGTAAATGGCAACTTTATTAAACTCAAGTCGGGTATTTATAGAAGTGGGCAAGCGAGATCAGAAAGGGCAAGGCCTCCTCCCAACAGAAGCAGGAAGGAGAATAAAGGCCCCAGTAAAGGAAAACTCCTCCCACCCAGAGGGGGCTGGGGAAACTGGCCTCTGTGGGAGTTTTTCCCCAGGCAGGTGGTCGAGGGTTCAAGGCAATGTCAGACAGGTTAGATGGACCTTGGCACCTGAGCTTCTTTGAGGCAGGTTGAGAAATTACCATTTTAAAGTAAAATAGATCCCTCAGGCTAATGTACCAGGCTGTAGCAGAACCAAGGACAGAACTAGCAGGAAGCTTAGCTGGTTAGCGTAAACATTATTTGCATCCAGTATTTTGGTCTCAAGGATCAGGGAGGACAGGGTCCCACAACTATGTTTTCTAAATTGTTGACTGTAAAAAGTTGATAATTGCCTCCAGATTTTTATCATGTTTTTAAAAACTTGTACCGGCCTTGGCCCATAACCATACTAATGAATATTTTGCTTATCACCATAGATCCTTCATCTGGCGAAGGATGGCAATACAGATGGAGACCCACATTGGAGCACCGGACTGAGCCCCCCATGGTCCAAATGAGGAGCAGAAGGAGGAAGAAAATGAAAAAGGAAATAAGGACTGCGAGGGATGCTATCACCCACTGATACAAGGGGACGAATCTAATGAGAGTTTACCAAGGCCAGTTGGACTGGGACTGAATGAGGACGTGATCTAACCAGATTCTCAGAATTTGGCCGGATTCTCTGAATGTGGCTGGCCCGAAGTCTTTCTGAAAAGCCATTGACTATGACACTGAGACTTGTTTCCTCTGCATATACTGGATTTTGGGGATCCAGTCTGTTTGAATACTCACCTTCCTGGACCTGGAGGGAGAGGGGAGGAACTTGAACTTCCCACAGGGCAGGAAACCCTGACTGCCCTAAGGGACGAAGAGGGAGGAGGAGAGGGAGTGGGGGGAGTGGGAGGGTGTTGGGAAGAGGGGCGGAAATGGAAACTTTTATAATTTAATAAAATTACTTTCAAAAAAAAAAAACTTGTCTTCTACGAGAATCGTTCTCCTTCTCTTTGTTGCCCTCACCTCCTGGCCGCAGATGCACCCTGAGACTGTAGCATCGAGCCATGTCCCCTCCTCCCTTGCAGCTCAAGCGGCCTTCTTCCCAAGTTCTAAACACTGGTCTGAGAGATGTCCTGTGTGTATTCAAAGTCTTGTCTGTTAGAGGAACGCTCTTGTGTTCCACAGTCCTTCTGTCCTTCCTTGGACAGGAATGTCTGGCTAAGAGGAAGCCTAATGTGGACATAACTATCTCCCTGGGGGTGGAGAGCAGTGACAGAACGGAGTCCTGGATGAACTTGGTACCTACCTGTGTCCTGAGCTGCCTAGTACTTGCTCCTCAGTGTCCAAGTTCATAGCGTTCTCTCTACTGTTGAGCCCATGGGCCCGTTTTAGTGAACACTGTGCCAGCTGCTCAGCATCTGTCCCTGAACAAACACAAGAGCCATCACCAGAGCTCACCACATCTTTGACGTGAACCCTGTAATCTTTCCTCACTCCGTCAGTCTGGCCCTTAGGGACAGAGATCACTTGATGAGCCTGTGCTTTTGTCTTTGCGCTCTTCCAGGCTCACAGGTCTCTTGGAACAACTATATCATAGCCCTTTGAATGAATGACCACTTTATGCTCCCAGTGTCCAGGGTCCAGATAGCTCCCTGCAGCTGACCAATTCAGGGCCACCTCACCTTCACAGTTCTGCCCAAGTAGGAACATGAAAGAGAAAAATAGGCCGTGGTGGATGTGGGGGTAGTACGGAGATGGCCCATTGTGACCTCTCATAGATACACCAACTTTACGGGTGGTGAAAGTACTCTAGTAGGTAGAAAAATATTTTCAAAATAGAGATACATTTTTTAAGAAACTTAAAATGAAGTTATATAATGTAATAATGTATCTCAGATATTAAAAGAGCACTTTAAGAAAGAAAAAACCATTTAAAGAGACCAGTGAGGCTCAGACCCCAGAAAAGGACAGAGGAGATGGACAGGGTGAAGGAAGGACAGTGCAGAGGAGGAGCTGTGACCAGGTCTGTCCCTGCCCAACACGAGTGACAGGCAACAGGACTGTGCCTGCAGCTGCTGCCCATGGAGGGGCAGGCGTGGCAAAGGAAAGTGTTTATCACATGGAAGTCGGGAAACAACAAGGAGTGACAGGAAGAGACACAGAGAAGAAACAGCATTCGATGACATGCTCCGAGTGACCCATGGTCCCTAAGTGTAGCCCACTTCCTTACAGACTCCAGAATTCTACTCATTCAGTAAGTTAAACCACTCAAGTCAGAGCCTTCCAGAACAATCTCTGCAAATTCAGACTCAACCAGAGACAAGCTCTATTAACACACACGCTGTTTGCAATTTAACCAAGGGACAATCATGATGATATTTTACTCGTCACCTTCTTCCCTGCTATTTCTCCATGACGAGTACAATGCTATGTGAGAAAAAAAGTGTAGAAGATTTAAGAACCCTGACAAGTTTCAGGACAGACTCATAGAGTTGATCTTCTGCTCCCTATTGGGTGGAGTGTGATGGTGGCCTCGTTCCACTGCTGTCCACTTGACATAGAGAAAAAAAATAAATACAAAAGGAAGGGAAGTGACTGTGGACACCGTTTACCATAGAATACTGTCCATGTACAGGGTGGGCAGTGATGCCATTCCTAAGAAAGATCTCACATGGAATTACAGTTGGAGATCCTCAGGAAACAGATCCAAGTATCAGTCACCCTACGGACAAGAGGCTGAGTGTGGACATAGCAAGGGTGCACAGGCAGAGTCTCCTCTCAACAGAATCATGAGCCCTAGCATGGGAATGTATCTGTGCCAAGTACGACGGAGGAACCTGAGACCCATAAAAGAGTGCCCTGTCCCAGATACTAGAAGGAAGGAAGTCAGTAGATGTCCAGTCTGCAGCCCCTGGCCTTAGCCAGCCTCTCTTCAGTCTGTGGGGCAGCAGAGAGAAGGTCAAGGCTGTTCTGTGTGCTGGGTGGGAAAGAGTGCCAGCCTGGGGACAGGGAGGGCAAGGTGCACAATCCTGTAAACAACTTGATACATCTGGAATTAAATCAAAACCCAAATGTAGGACACACCTGGGAGGGGATTTTGCTTAATTTGAAGCGGTGAGATTCACTTCTAAGTCATATTTAAAGTGGGAAGCTGTGTCTTTAATACAGATATATTGAGGAAGAAGGCCTGACTCTAATCTAAGCCACACCTTCTGCTGTGTGTTTGAAAGATCAAAGGGCAGAGCCAAGGCAGGGGCAAGCTATGTGTTTATACAAGCAGAAAGCATTGTAGAAACCTTGGAATTATTAAAAAACACAAAGTCAGAATCAGCTGTGTGACATCATGCACAGTACTTTCCCTCTCAGAATCTCTCTCTTTTGTCAGAAAAACAAAGTTACTATCTCTGCTTTGCTCATGCATACCAGGGCACTGCTCTCCTTGGTGGTTGGATGTCTGGCACACATGCAGAGGACATGGGAAAGTGGGTACCAGGAAGAATGAGCTTGTCTATGATCCCGGAGATGCTCAGAGGGAAGAAACCAGGCACCAAAACCTGGATCCCAGATCAGTCAATGACTCAGGGTGCAGATGGCTAACATATAAAGTGTTTTCACTTGAACTAATTTAAACAACATCCCACACAGTGCACATAAACACAGGCACATACATACTTCCCAGTCAGCCTTAGCTCGATGAAGCTATGTTTCAAACTTTGTACCACAAGTTTCCAAAAGTGTTTTATTTCCTAACACTTAATTTCTATGTCTTGGTGGCAGTGCACTCCCGTGGGTTAATGAACTCTGGTTGAGTGGTGTGATGGCTAGTCTTGGTTGTCAACTTGACTACATCTGGAATTAAATCAAAACCCAAATGTAGGACACACCTGTGAGGGGATTTTGCTTAATTTGAAGCGGTGAGATTCACTTCTAAGTCATATTTGAAGTGGGAAGCCATGTCTTTAATACAGATATATTGAGGAAGAAGGCCTGACTCTAATCTAAGCCACACCTTCTGCTGAAAGCCTATATAAGGTCATGGAAAAAGGAAGTTGGTGATCTTTGCCTCCTTGGTTTCGCCTCATTAACGAGTCAAATCCTTCATTGCATTACAGCCTCCTTCTTCAGGATTCCTGCATATACTGAAGACAAGCCAAGACATCCAGCCTTGTGGACTGAGCAGCATCTGGAGTCTTCAGCCTTCCGTTCCTAGGCAGCCACTGTTGGACAAGCTGAGCCACAGCCTGTGAGTCGTTCTAATAAACCCCTTTCTATGTAGAGAGATGGATTCTGTGAGTTCTGCTACTCTAGAGAACCTGACTAGTACAGATGGTCACTTCTCCCCAACTCACCCCACTTGGGCCTTAAGTAAGCTACTCTGACCTGCACCGCACACCCTGGCAAAGGTTTCCATGAACTAACTCTGCTGCCTGCCTGCTGGATAGTTGGGTGGTTGTGGCCCCACCTGATCATATTACAGTCCTAGGTGAGTGTTGCTGACTGTTCTACAAAACTCCACAACCTTCCACAGCCAACACCTACAGTGGCGATGTGTACCCACAGCAGGACCAATGGGCATCTTCCAGATGTTTACATCCTTTGGCCAGTAACTTATTTTTAAGTTTCATTTCTGCGTTAATGTGATTTTTATGAACCTGGCATTGGTGAGAGGACTCCATCCCTGTCACTCTGATCCTAGTCAGGTTGTTAGCATTATTAAAAAGGTATGATGCTTGCCCTGCGGAGCTGACCCAGACTTCACATTGGGGAGGGGACTTCACAGCACCTGCCTTGTCTCAGGCTCCGACCGGCTCTTATGTTTTTGAAATATTCTTTATTTCTTTATAAATTCATGTGAGTATGAGAAGGCTTTAATGGGGTGAGGAGCACAAAACTGGAATCCTAATACTCTGGTGGGGCAGGTCTAATATTAGGAGATCATGGTTCTCCTAGTCTATACAGTGAGTTTGAGGGCAGCCTGGGCTATGTACACACTTGGAGGGTTTGGGCAGAACACTTAGCCATCGGGTAAAGGGGAGAGTGTAATCCTGAGAGTGATCTGCCAGTATCTTCAGCTCTTCCCACACCAACAGGTCATTCACTCTCCTTTTGGTCAGGTCCCAGGAAGAACAGATGCCTCCGACCCACACCACTAAACTAGTTTCTTTCCTTACTTAGCTTCCAGGCAATCCCAGTGCAGTTTGTGTTCCTCTCTTTATGAAGTCTTCCCCACCCACAAAGACTCCTGAGGACTGGTCAGAAAGAAGGAATGAGCGTCCTCACACATTGCCTGTGTTAACGCTCATTAACCCAGTCCTTCTACTCCTACAAATGTCATAAAGAAATAAACCCAAATGCAGGCTCTAACTGGCAGGGAGAACATTCTTTGTATCACTATTTACATAATGATTAGGATCACCACAAGGTCCCAGTGTCAGGGAGAAGAACAGGTGTCAAAGGCAGCACAGAGCAGGGCTGGGGACAGGCAGGACTCCAGGTCCTAATAGGACAAAGATTGCAGAACCAAGGAGGATGTGGTCCCTTAGAATCAGAGGACCCTCATGAATTTACTAACATGAGGTCCTGGTACTTGCACAGGCAGTGCCATGGAAACAGAAGAACCATTTATAACACACATGGACTATGATGCACACATGTAATATAAAAAGGAGGGAATGCCTTTGTGTCTTTAAGATAGTGGAGCTTAGTCATCTGAGAATGAAATGTGGATTACCATGTTCAGGGGTCAAGTCCTTTCTCTATCAACACTGAAAACTCACACACATTACCTAAATATGTGCCTGTCAACCTCCATCACATGGAAACTCAAGAGTCTCAACCTGATAGAGCATCTCCAAAGACTTCTTATGTGTGAGTAAGGAGCCAGAGCATCATGGACAGTAAGTGTCCTTATTTGAAATAGGAATGGCCGCCATTGGCTCATATATTTGAGTAGGGTGTGGCGCTACTTGAGAGGGATCGGGAAGTGTGGTGTTGCTGGAGTAGGTGTGGCCTTGATGGAGGAAGTGTGTCACTAGGGGTGGACCCTGAGGCCTCACAAGCTCAGGGCAAGCCAGTGTCTCTCTCTTTCCTGCTACCTGTGGATCTGAATGTAGAATTCTCAGCTATAAAAGCACCAGGGCTGCCTGCATGTCACCATGCTCACGACATGAAAATAAGTGAACTAAATCTCTGCAACTGTAGACAAGCCCCCAAATAAATTTATTTGTAACAGTTACATTGGCCATGGAGTCTCATCACAGCAATAGAACAGTGATTAAGACAGTAAGTTTAAGCAATTACAGCCAGATATTGATTACACATGCATTAATCCCAGCCCTCTGGATGCCTAAGTGTTGTAGAATATTATTTTAAGTTGTGATACTTTTCTCTATGTTCTAGAATATTTATTTAACGGTGCAAAGAAGTGTTACATTTGTTTAATTAAGTAAAATTTCGCTGTCAAGTTTCAGGAAGTTTCCCTTGATCAAACCTGATCCATATCATTCCTGCAGGAATCAACAACCTCACATCTCCTGTGGGAACAAAACTGCAATGCAGTTTTGATTTCTAGTTAAAAAATATATATATATTGACTTCTTTTTAAACGTTAAATCTTTCCTAAAGTGTCTATATTGGCTCAGTTTTGCAGTCAACTCACAATCCCATTCTCCCAGCAGCTGTCTCTTGCCTATAAGCCATCAAAAAATTAAAAATCAACACAATATTACACAGGATCCAGACTCCCTGTGAATTTCCCATCTTACATGGCTTTTTCCTTTTACTCTCTGTTTAAAGACTTTATTGTATAAATTATGTATTTTTATGACTTCACTTTTTCTTTCTTTCTTACACCTACGTACATTATAAAACACACTGGAACCTGGTTAGAGTTTTCTCCATCTGGACCTCTTTTATTGGGTATCTTTTCTGACTGCACGAGCAAACTTTGAAACTGCTAATGTTACACCTGGATCCTCCGACCGCAGCTTTTAACAGATGGATCTTCCTTTTTCTCAGGTTAAGAAAGCTAGGGCTAAAACCCAAGCCTGGTCATAGGTAGGTGATCAAGAACTGCATTGACCCTTTCTAGAGCTCTCGAATTCCAATGCTTACACTGTGGCAGGCATTTTTACTTTTTTAACTTTATTGATTTTTATTGAGCTCTACATTTTTCTCTGCTCCCCTCTATGCCTCTCCTATCCTGTTCAACCCTCTCCCATGGTCCCCATGCATCAAATCAGGAGATCTTGTCATTTTCTACTTCTCGTTAGATTAGATCTCTCTTAATGTCCTCATTGTTGTCTAGATTCTCAGGGATTGTGATTTGTAGGCTGGCTCTCTTTGCTTTATGTTTAAAAACCACCTATGAGTGAGTACATATGACAATTGTCTTTCTGAGTCTGGGTTACCTCACTCAAAATAATGTTTTCTAGCTCCATCCATTTTCCTGCATAATTCAAGATGCCGTTATTTTTTTCTGCTGTGTAGTACTCCATTGTGTATGTATGTACCACATTTTACTTAACCATTCTTCGGTCAAGGGGCATTTAGGTTGTTTCCAGGTTGTGGCTATGACAAACAATGCTGTTATGAACAGAGTTGAGCACATGTTCTAGTGGCACGATTGAGCATCCTTTGGATATATACCCAAGAGTGGTATTACTGGGTCTTGAGGAAGGTTGTTTCCTAATTATCTGAGAAATCACATCACTGTCATCCAAAGGGGTTGTACCAGCTTGCATTCCCACCAGCAATGCAGAAGTGTTCCCTTTTCCCGACAACCTCTCCAGCATAAGTTGTCATCAGTGTTTTTGATCTTTGCCATTCTTACAGGTGTAAGATGGAATCTCAGAGTTGTTTTGATTTGCATTTCTCTGATGACAAAGGATGTTGAACATTTCCTTAAGTGTCTTTCAGCCATTTTAGATTCCTCTGTTGAGAGTTCTCTGTTTAGGTCTGTATGATGACAATTTCTTGAGTTCTTCGTATATTTTGGAGATCAGCCCTCTATCCAATGAGGGGTTAGTGAAGATTTTTCTCATTCTGTAGGCTGTCGTTTTGTCTTGTTGACTGTGTCCTTTGCTTTACAGAAGCTTTTCAGTTTCAGGAGGTCCCATTTATTAATTGTTTCTCTTAGTGTCTGGGTTACTGGGGTTATATTTAGGAAGTGGTTCCCTGTGCCAATGTGTTCAAGTGTACTTCCCACTTTCTCTTCTATAAGGTTCAGTGTGGCTGGCTTTATGTTGAGGTCTTTGATCCATTTGGACTTGAGTTTTGTGCATGAGATATGGGTCTATTTTCATTCTTCTACATGTTGATATCCAGCTATGCCAGTACCATTTGTTAAATATGCTTTCCTTTTCTATTCGATATTTTTTGCTTCTTTGTCAAAAATCAGGTGTACGAAGGTGTGTGGATTAATATCCACGTCTTCAATTCAGTTCCATTGCTCCTTCTGTTTGTTCTTATGCCAATACCATGATGTTTTCTGTAGTTCTGTAGTAGAGTTTGAAGTCAGGAATTGTGATGACTCCAGAAGTTCTTTTATTGTACAGGTTTTTTTGTTTTTTTTTTTTTTTTTTTTTTTGGCTATCCTTGGTTTTTTGCTTTTCCATATGAAGTTGAGTACTGTTCTTTCAAGGTCTGTGAAGAATTTTGCTGGTATTTTGGTGGGCATTGCATTGAATCTGTAGATGGCTTTTAGTAAGATTGCTACTTTTACTACGTTAATTCTATCCACACAAGAACATGGGAGATCTTTTCACTTTCTGGTGTCTTCTTCAATTTCTTTCTTCAAAGATTTCAAGTTCTTGTCAAACAAGTCTTCCATTTGTTTGGTTAGAGTTACTCTGAGATATTTTATGCTATTTGTGGCTATTGTGAAGGGTGATGTTTCTCTGATTTCTTTCTCAGCCCATTTATCATCTGTTTACAGGATGGCTACTAATCTTTTTGAGTTAATCTTGTATCCTGTTACATTACTGAAAGTGTTTATGAGTTTTAGAAGTTCCTTGGTGGAATATTTGGGGTTGCTTATGTAGACTATAATATCATCAGTAAATAGTGAGAGTTTGACTTCTTCTTTTTCAATTTGTATTCCCTTTATCTCCTTTTGTTGTCTTATTGCTCTAGCTAGGACCTCAAGAACCATATTGAATAGATATGGAGAAAGTGGACAACCTTGTCTTGTTTCTGATTTCTGTGGAATTGTTGGGAGTTTCTCTCCATTTAGTTTGATGTTGGCTGTTAGCTTGCTGTATATTGCCTTTATTATGTGTAGGTATGTTCCTTGTATCCCTGCTCTCTCCAAGACTTTTATCATGAAGGGATGTTTTTTTTTTTTTCCCGAAAGCCTTTTTCGACATCTAATACGATCATCATGTGGTTTACTTCTCGGTTTGTTTATATGATGGATTACATTGATAGATTTTCATATGTTAAACCATCCCTGCATCTCTGGGATGAAGCCAACTTGATCATGGTGGATGATGGTTCTGATGCGTTCTTGGATTTGATTTGCCAGATTTTTATTTAGTATTTTTGCATCAATGTTCATGAGTGAGATGGTCTGTAATTCTATTTCTTAGTAATGTTTTTATTACTATGTGGCTTGGGTATCAGGGTAATTAATTGTAGCCTCATAAAAAGAGTGTGGCAATATTCCTTCTCTTTCTAGGGTGTGGAATAATTTGAAGAGTATTGGTATTAGTTCTTCTTTGAAAAGTCTTTTAAAATTCTGAGTTGAAACCATCTGGTCCTAGGCTCTTTCTGGTTGGGAGATTTTGATGACTGTTTCTATTTCTTCAGCAGTTATAGATCTGTTTAATTTGCTTATCTGGTCTTGATTTAATTTTGATAAGTGATATTTTCCAGAAAGTTGTCCATTTCCTTTACGTGTTTCAATTTTGTGGAGTACAGGTTTTTGAAATATGACCTGATGGTTCTCTGTATTTCCTCCAGGTCTGTTGTTATGTCCCTCTTTTCATTTCTTATTTTGTTAATGTGGATATTCTCTCTCTCTGCCTTGTGGTTAGTTTGGATAAAGATTTGTCTATTTTGTTGATTTTCTCAAAGAACCAACTCTTTGTCTCATTGATTCTTTGTATTGTTTTCTTTGTTTCTATTTTGTTGATTTCAGCTCTCAATTTGATTATTTCTTGCCATCTAGTTCTCTTGGGTGACTTTGCTTCTTTTTGGTCTAAAGTTTTCACATATTCTGTTAATTCACTAGTGTGGTTTCCAACTTCTTTATATAGGCATTAAGTGCTGTGAACTTTCCTGTTAACACTGCTTTCATTGTGTTCCATAAACTTTGGTATGTTTTGTGGTCATTTTCATTAAATTATAGGAAGTATTTAATTTCTCCTTATATTTCTTCCTTGACCCATTGATGATTCAGGTAAACATTGTTTAATATCCATGTGTATTTATGGGCTTTCTAGAATTAGTATGACTATTGAATTCTAATTTTAAGCCATGGTAATCTGATAAGATATATGGGGTTATTTCAATTTTTTGTATTTGTTGAAGTTTTTGTTACCAAGTAGGAGGTCAGTTTTTGAGAAGGTTCCCTGAGGTGCTGAGAAGAAGGTATATTCTTTTGTGTTTGAATGGAATATTCTATAGTGTCTGTTAAGTCCATTTGAGTCATAAGTCTGTTCGTTACCTGTTAATTTTTCTGTTCATTTTTATGTCTGACAGAACTGTTCAATGATGAGAGTGAAGTGTTGAAGTCTCCCACTATTAGTATGTGAGGTTTAATGTATGATTTAAAGTTTAGAAGTGTTTCTTTTATATATGAGGGTACCCCTGTATTTGGGGCATAGATGTTCAGTATTAAGATTTCCTCTTGATAGATTTTTCCTGTGACTAATATGAAATGTCCTTCTTTGTCTCTTTTGATTGATTTTAGTTTGAAGTCTGTTTTGTTAGACATTGGGATAGCTACACCAGCTTGTTTCTTAGGTCCATTTGTTTGGAAAATATTTCCCAACCCTTTATTCTGAGACGACATCTGTCTTTGAGGTTGAGGTGTGTTTCTTGTATGCAGAAGAAGAATGGATTCTGTTTTTGTGTCCAATCTGTTAGCCTGTATCTTTTTATAGTTGAGTTGAGTCCATTTGTATTAAGGAATATTAATGACTAGTGATTGCTATCTCCTGTTAATTTACTTTTCCTTGTTGGTAATGTTAATTTGTGTGTTTTCCCCTTCTTTGGGATTTGCTGCTATGAGACCATCAGTTGTATTTTGTTAATGTAGCCAACTTATATGGGTTAGAGTTTTCCTTCTAGTATTTTGTAGGGCTGGGTTTGTGGGTTGCTATTGGTTAAATCTGGTTTTGTCATGGAATATCTTGTTTTGTCCTTCTATGGTGACTGAAAGTTTTGCTGGGTATAATAGTCTAGGGTGGCATCTGTGTTCTCTTATTGTCTGCATAATGCTTGACCATGACTTTCATTGTCTCCAATGAGAAGTCAGGTGTAATTCTGATAGTTCTGCCTTTATGTGTTATTTGGTCTTTTTCCTTTACAGCTCTTAATTTTCTTTCTTTTTTCTGTATGCTTAGTGTTTTGATTATTAAGTGGTGAGGGGACTTGTTTTATCTAGTCTGTTTGGTGTTCTATATGCTTCTTATATCTTCATAGGCATAACTTTTTTTAGGTTTGGAAAGTTTTCTTCTATGTTTTTGTTAAATATATTTTCTGTGGCTTTGAGTTGAACTTCTCCTTCTTCTATACCTATTATTCTTAGGTTTGGTCTTTTCATGGTTTCCCATATTTCCTGAATATTTTGGGTTAGGCTTGCATTAGATTTAATGTTTTCTTTGATTGGTGAGTCTGTTTCCTCTTTTGTATCCTCAGAGTTTGAGATTCTCTCTCCCATCCTTTGTATTCTGCTATTCATGCTTGCGTTTGTGGTTCCTGATCCTTTTCTCATAATTTCTGTTTCTATAATTCCCTTTGCTTGCGTTTTCTTTATTGTCTCTATTTCAGTTTTCAAGTCTCGAATAATTTCTTTCATATGTTTGACTGTTTTTTTTTCTTGGTTTTCTTTAAGAGATTTGCTGATGTCTTCTAATTTTTTTGTTTGTCTTCTCCTCTATTTCTTTGAGGGAATTTCTCATTTCCTCTTTATGAGTCTCAAACATTCTTCTGAAGTTATTTTTAGGTCATTTTCTTCTGCTTCATCTATATTTGGTTGTTCAAGTCTTGCTGTTGTATGGTCTCTAGATTTTACTGGTGTTCTTTGTGGTGTTGTGTGTGTTCTTACCTTGTGTACTCATCTTTTCCTCTAATTGGTGTTGTCATGGCTGTCTGTGATTCTAATGATTAATCTTCTAGGTGCCAGTGAATCCAAGGCTCAGATGGTTGTTCTTCATGCTACACTCAGTGCCACGGTTCTTGTTACCCCATTGGTCACTCCTTACTCCTGGAGGGTGCTCAGCACTCCTGGGCTTTGCTTCACTCCCATGGAGTTTGCTGTCTCAGTCCTGCTCTCGCCTAGGTTATTGACTCAGTTCGGTTTCTGTAAAAGTCCCTGGTCTGGATCTGTTTCTGCAGAGGTCCCTGGTTTGGTGTTGGTTCTGTAAATGTTTCTGGCTCTGATCTTCTCCCTCAGAGGTCCTAGACTCACACCTGAACCTGCAGTGTTTCTGGGTCCTGCCTACTCCCTTTGATGCCCCAGACCGACACCCAGACCCATAGGGGTCCTGGCTCAGGTCTACTCCCTCTGAGGTTCCAGACTCATGCCCAGACCCACAGCAGTCTCTGGCTCTGGCGCACTCACTCAGAGGTTGCTCCCCTATACCTGCTCCTGTTGAGTTCACTGTCTCAGGTCTGCTCAGGCCCGGGTCAATGGCTCAGACTTGCTCCTATGGAGTTCACTACCTCAGACCTGCTCTGGCTTAGGTTGCTGGCTCAGTCTTGCCTCTATGGAGTTCACTACCTTAGGTTTGCTCTGCCATTTTTAATTTTTAAATTTGTTTCTAGCTGCTCAAGGTTTCACTATGTCATACAAACTCTTTCTTTGTTGTTGTTATTTTTCAAGACAGGGTTTCTCTGTAGTTTAGGAGCCTGTCCTAGAACTAGCTCTGTAGACCAGGCTGGCTACAAAGGCACAGAATTCCACTCTCTCTGCCTCCCAAGTGCTGGAACTTAATGTGTGTGCCACCACCATCTGGCCCCCATAGAAACTCTTAAAGGGGCGTATCCTCCCTTTTTTTTTCATCTTTCTCAGGCCATACGGAAATATAGCCTACATTAGTTCACTAAAATGTTGTGGATTTTTAAAATTACCTTTTTGGAGGCCAGACATCCAGCTATAAAGCAAACCATGAAGATTTACTGAAGTAGGAGAATGGAAAAAGCCAAGAGGCAAAAGAGAGACAGGATAATTTAAGAAGAATTGACAAGAAACAAGACAAGCTAAGGTTTATGTAATAATAAGCCTCCATGTGTGATTTATTTGGGAGCTGGATGGCAGCCATCAAAGCAGTAAGAAAACCAACAACACACAGGTATGTGGAACTCAGTGAGTTAGAAGTCAACCTGGTCTACAAGTGGGTTCCAGAGCAGCCAGGACTACATGGAGAATCCCTGTGCCAAAATCCAAAAAACAAAAAACAAAAAAAAAAAGAAAAAGAAAAGAAAAGAAAGAAAGAAAGAAAGAAAGAAAGAAAAAAAGAAAGAAAGAAGGAAAAGAGTGTATAGTGAATATAAACAGGGTACTGGGAACAACCCACATGTGGCTTCCAGAACATTCCTGTCTCTCTCTCATTCTGTGTGCAGGGTCTGTTGTTTCCCCACAGCTGTGTCCACAGTTGACACCTCCTCCACTGTCCCAGCATGCCATTAGTCCTCCTCCTTGCCTGGAGAGAGAGCAGCAGGGCTGGAGCTGCAGGACAGGTTCCCTTACATAGCAGTCACAGAGTCCAGAGGAGCAGACAAGGTTTGGGTTCAGTTCTTTCTGCCCTCGGCAGTCACCATTGAGAGAATTGTGGGTCAGCAGATCCCTGGTCACAGCAACTGTCCCCATTCTGTCCCACAGGTTGTTCTTCCCTCCTGTAGCCTGGGCACCCGGTGAGCTGTAAGGAAAGCTGTCAGGATCCCCTGAGCGACACCAAGACCACAGCTGTCATGGGCTCCCCAGGTAATCAGTCTGTTCTCTGCTGCTGCTCACGGCCTAGGACTGCCAGGGCCTCCCTGCTGAGGAGTCAAAGATGACTAACATAAGTTAGTTGTTATCGCTGACGTCACTCACTTTTGTCATTGTTGGAACTAATGAAAGCAGATTATCTCACTAACAATATTGTATGTTATGGTTCATCCTGGAAGGGATGCAGGGTGGGAGGTCCACATCATGGCACACAAAAGCAGTAACATGAAAGGGCCAAGACAAGATGGCAGTCAGCCCCAAAGACACATCCCAGCTGCCCTTCTGACCCCAGCCAGACTCTACTTCCCAAGGTGCCCCAGCTGAGTCTTTGAACTACTCATGCACTCAGAGAACTTAGGATCTATTATATCTGGGAACTCCCTCACAACCCGCCGAGAGAAGGGCTACTGATCTCCCAGATATTTATTAATCAAGTGGATTGAAACTCAGGATTAAGAACTAATCATTCCAGTGACGAAAGTCAAGTTTGGGACTAGAGAGTGGCTCAGCGGTGAAGAGCACTTGCTGCTCTTTCAGAGGACAAGGGTTCAGTTCCCAGCACCCACATCAGGTTCACAGCAGGCTGTAACAGCCGCTCCAGGGGACCCAAGGACCTCTTTGGTCACCAGACACACATGGTGCATAGACATAAATACAAGCAGGCAAATATTCCTATACATGAAATGAAAATCAAGGGAAAAGGTCGCATTCAAGGACTGGGCCACAGGCACACAGTAGATGAATGCCATCACTGGACACTCCCTCTTCCTGGGGATGAGAGACTCACTTTCTCACTGTTCTGAGCTGAAAACCATATGTGTCTCTGCAAAGTACCATGACATCTCCCTGATATTTCAGTCTTTTCAGGATGCCATCACAAAGTGACACTGGGTAGGTGGTTAAAAGAGAAAAGACCTCTTCTCTCACTGTTCTGGAATTCAACATCCACAATCAAAGTGTGGCTGATTGGTCCTGGGGGTGACTCTTTTCCAAGTTGGTAGAGCCTGTTCTAGCCCAAGGTCTTTCTAGAGAGAAGAGAGCCAGGGAAAGGGAGAAAGGGGAGGGTGGGGGAGACAGAGAAGGAGGGAATGGAGGGAGGGAGCTTCTTCTGGCTGCTGTGAGGACACTAACACTCTGGGTCAGGGACCTCACTCACAACCTCACTTGCTTCCTTATCTATCTCCAAATACAGTCACCTGGGGATAGAGCTTTAACAAATGAGTTAAGGGACACAGCTCAGTCTCTACTAAAAGTGACACCAGATTATACCTGAAGGGACAGATGCTCAGGAACACATTTTAAAACCTAGCTCCTGAAGCCATTCAAGGTCTCCAGCATGCTCCTCTAACCATATTCCTTTTCCTTCCCATCTAGAGGGGAAAGGCTTCATCATGTCTGTGGTTGAGTACCTCTGGAACACATGGAGCACAGAGGCCCTGCAGCTCCTGCCGACCAAAGACGGATTTGGAAAACAACTTGTGGAAAGAGCTGGTTTGTCCAGTTTCTCTCCATTTAATTTGATGTTTGCTGTCAGCTTGTTGTTTATTGTTTATATTATATTTAGGTAAGTTCCTTAGATCCCTAATCTCTGTAAAACTTTTATGATTTAGGGGTAGTAGATTTTTCCAAGGACTTTTTCACCATCTAAGAAGATGACCATGTGTATTGTCTTTCTGTCTGTTTATATTGTGGATTACATTGACAGATTTTTCTTATGTTGAACCATCCCTGCATATAAGGGATGAACACTACTTGTTTATAAGTAATGATTGTTTAAGTGTTCTAGGATTCAGTTTGCCAATATTTTATCTAGTTTTTGCATCAGTGTTCTACATGGAGACTCTTTCATTGTTGCATCCCTGTGGGGTTGGGTATTCAGGTAACAGTAGCCTGATAGAAAGAATTCCATAGCTTTTCTATGTGGACTCTGGAACACAGAACTCAGGTCCACGTGTTTGTATGGCAAACACTTTACCAAATTAACCACATCCTAAGGGTGCATCTAGATTTTAAGGGAGAATTGTCTGCTATCCTCAACACATGTCACAGTCATGTGAGCGTTCACACGGGGTGACACACACCAAGAAAGATGCCTTGGTAGAGAAACCATATTCTGACATGAGTTAGCAGTCAGGAAGGTGCTGGGCTGGGCTGCTCCCCTAAGGGAAAGAGACAGAAGAGCTCTGGATGTGCATTCAGCTGGGGACTCTGGCAGACAAGCTGAGTGAGGGGCAGTGGTTAGCAGGGAGCAGGGGCACTGTGAAGCTGACCTCATGGGATGCATCTTGAGGGAGGTCAAGACTAAGACAGCAAAAGTTAAACACAGGAATTTGATTGAGTATTGAGTTTCAAAAGTAGGGCAGTCTCACAACTGACTTAAGATTCTTGACAAGTCTGGGCAGGGAACACCAACCATCGCAGGAAAGGCATGGAAAGTCAAGACCGAGCCACACTTTGAAAGTAGCTTAGAAAAGTTTAATAAAATTGATTCAAGAAAAAATATTTATCTACATAAGCCTCAGTGTCCAGAAGTTTGTCGGACCTTCACATACACAGTCCCCATGAGTGTCCTGGGGTCTCCCTCCCTCCTGGAGTTCATGTCTCTAGTGTCTAGATCCCCTGGAGCTCAGAAAAGACAGCAAAATCCCACCACATGTCACCATTCTCAGGCTTGAAATTCTAAGAGAGCTAGGGAACCTACCTATTTGGGTTTTTTTTTCATTCTTTCTTTCTTTTTTTCTATTACTTTATAAATAATACCTGTGAGACGCCCCCCCGCCTTGTCCAGCAAGCAAGGACGACCACGAAATCGAGAATCCTTCCCAAATCACAACTTTAATGGAGCACTTGGTTGAAAGGGGAATGGGGACGAGAGAGGGATGAGAGGGGAGAGAGAGAGAGAGAGAGAGAGAGAGAGAGAGAGAGAGAGAAACCGAAAGGCAGCCTCTTTTCTAGGGTGGAGAGGCTCAGATGCTGATTGGTTAATGCCATTCTGCTAGGGCCTAGACCACAGGACAGGCCAGGGAACCAAGGCTCTGATATGCAAAACACAAGCCCAGGCGCTCTGGCCTGCTTGTCAACATCAAAAGATCTGTATACCTCCAAGCTGTAGGACCGCTGGCACCATCTCGCCATGGGACATACAGGCGGCCCCTTACAAATACAAATCAAAATTTACACTTTCTCCCCTCCTCCCACTTTCCTCCAGCTCCCCCCCACATCCTCTCTACACTGCTCTCCAATCCTAAGAGAGGGCAAAGCACCCTACCCTGTGGGTAGTCCAAGGCCCTCCCCCCTCCACCCAGGCTTAGGAAGGTGTGCATCCAAAGAGAATAGGATCCCAAAAAGCAAGTACATGCAGTAGAGACAAATCCCGGTGCCATTGTCATTAGACCCTCAGTCTGCCCCAATGTCAACCACATTCAGAGGGTCCAGTTTGATCCCATGCTCGTTCATTCCCAGTCCAGCTGGAGTTGGTGAGCTCCCATTAGCTCAGGCACACTGTCTCAGTGGGTGAACCAACCCCTCATGGTCCTGATTTCCTTGCTCATATTCTCCCTCCTTCTGTTCTTCAACTGGACCTTGGGAGCTGAGTCCAGTGCTCCAATGTGGGTCTCTGTCTCTGTCTCCATCTGTCGCCGGATGAAGGTTCTATGGTGATATTGAAGATAGTCATCAGTCTGACTATGGGACAAGGCCAGTTCAGGAACCCTCTCCTCCACCGCCCAAGGACCTATCTGGGGTCATCCCCGTGGATTCCTGGGAACCCCTCCAGAGTCAAGCCTCTTGCTAACCCCAAAATGGCTCCCTCAATTAAGATATCTCCTTCCCTGCTCCCAAATCCATCCTTCCTCCATCTCAACCATCTGACTCCCTCAAGCTCTCCCTAACCCTCCCCTTCTCCCTTCTCTCTCTCCCACTCCCATTCACTCTAACCCCATGCCCCCATGTTCCCAATTTTTGCCTGGTGATCTTCTCTGCTTCCAATTTCCAGGAAGATCTATATATGTATTTTTTGGGTTCACCTTATTACTTAACTTCTCTAGGATCATGAACTATAGGCTCAATGTCCTTTGTTTATGGCAAGAATCCACTAATGAGTGAGTACATACCATATTCATATTTTTGGGTCTGGATTATCTCACTCAGAATAGTGTTTTTTACTTCCGTCCATTTCCATGCAAAATTCAAGATGTCTTTGTTTTTAACCGCTGAGTAGTACTCTAAAGTGTAGATGTGCCACACTTTCTTTATCCATTCTTCCATTGAGGGGCAGCTAGGTTGTTTCCAGGTTCTGGCTATTACAAATAATGCTGCTATGAACATAGTTGAACAAATGCTTTTGTAGTATGATTGAGCATCTTTTGGTATATTCTTAAGAGTGGTATTGCTGGATCCTGAGGTAGGTTGACTCTCAATTTTCTGAGAAACTGCCACACTGATTTCCAAAGTGGTTGCACAAGTTTGCATTCCCACCAACAATGAATGAGTGTTCCCCTTA